TTTGATGACATATATCAACTCACTAACACAGATGGCTGTGCCATTGTGTCTGCTGAAGAAGATGCAATATATATTGGTCGAGTGTTTAAAGACAAGGAGAGTTTGCAAAACACTTTAGCCATATATGCCATTAAAAGGTTGTTCCATTTCAGGCAGACCAAATCTGATACTACACGGGCGGTCTTTGTTTGTGTTGATCGGCATTGTCGATGGAGAGTATTTGCTCGTAGGGTGTCAGAGTACTCAGAGAATTATGTGATCCGAACAGCTACTCTAACCCACACATGTTCAATAACTGCTAGGTCCCAGTTTGAGAAGCAAGCTTCAGCAAAAGTGATCGCAGAGGTTCTAAAAGGAAAGTATGCTAACGGATTGCCTGGGCCAAGGGCGTGCGATATTCCAGATATAGTTCTGCAAGAGCTTAAAGTGTCTGTAACCTATATGAAAGCATGGTATGCTAAGGAAGCTGCTGTTCTAAGAACCCGTGGAAGTGATGAAAAAAGCTACAAGCTACTAGCAGTCTACATGTACTTGTTGCAAAAAAGAAATCCAGAAACTGTATACAAACTGGAATATACTGGTGGAGGATTGGCTGCAAAGCAGTTCAAGTATCTATTTTTTTCTCTTGGAGCAAGCATTGCAGGTATTAAGTTCATGAGGAAGGTCGTACTTGTTGATGGCACTGCTATAAAGACCAAGTTTAAGGGAGTGCTTATGACTGCAAGCATGCAAGATGCAAATTTTCAAGTGTTTCCAATAGCATTTGGAATAGTGGATGCAGAGAATGACTTGGCTTGGACCTGGTTTTTCAAGCAACTCAGCTCTCTTGTCCCTGATGGAGAGGATTTAGTCCTTGTTTCTGATAGGCACAGGTCAATATATGCTGGTCTCCGGAAAGTTTATACTCAGGCCTTTCATGGAGCATGTGCAGTGCACATTGAAAGAAATGTTAGGGCTAAGAAACCTGGCACAGGCATCTCAGCCCTGGTTGGTAAAGCAGCTCGTGCTTTTAACTCCGGAGAATACAAAGAATGGTATGCTGAGATTTAGAAGAGAAGCAAAAAGTGTGCAACATATCTAGATGAAATTCCTCTTGAGCATTGGACACAAGCGTTTTGTCCAGCTAAACGCTACAACATGATGAGTAGCAATATTGCTGAGGCTCTAAATGGCGCATTAGCAAAAATTGTTGAACTACCAATTGTTTCAATGGTTGAGTCTATTAGAACAAAGTTAATGGAGTGGTTTTGCTTCAGAAGGGAGAAGGGAAGGAAACTACTGGCTATGGGACAGGTGATAACACATGCTGTCAACACATTACTCCTCCGCCACCACACTGAGTCTGCTGGCTTGGCTGTGAAACCAGTATCAGAGTGGAGTTTCCAAGTTGCTTCGAAGACAAAGCAGTACTATGTGGACTTAGCTCAGAAAACCTGCACCTGTTTGCAATTTCAAAAGCTGGAAGTCCCTTGTTGTCATGCCTTGGCTGCAGCAAGGAGGAAGCGCGTTGAAGTACCTTCTTTGGTAGGTGAACACTACATGGTAAAAGTCTTTGCCGCCACTTACGAGAAGCTGATCTTCCCTGTGCCTAATGAATGTGACGAAGAAATTCCAACTGCTGTGCAAGAAACAGAGTTCATCCCACCTGAAAATAAGAATGGTCCTGGTCGGAGAAGGAAAAGAAGGATCCCTTCCAGTGGAGAGTACACGGTAAGGAAGGAAGTTATGTTTTCTACATAGCCGAGAAAAACTAAAAATTTAGGAACTAACAGTCTCTAATGTTTCTACAGGGTGCAAAAAGGCGAAAGACTGGACCGCATAAGTGTTCTACTTGCGGTGAACAAGGTCATAACAGAGCAACTTGCTCTAACATGCCAGCTTAAGGTACATGCCTGAAATAAATATATCCTATATTTGTTCTGTTGGAAGTAAAATTATTGGTTATATGTACTAAACAATATGTTACAATGTGTGGCAGCTGTGTGGATGGAGACTATAACTTTTTGGACCAACGAAGCGGTAGTTTATGTTGCAGTGATTGTTTTTTTGGCGTGGTCAGTTGATGGCCTATGGACACATATGTTTAGCAGCGACGGGGACAGACCCTTTTGTATTTCGGCTTATCGTTGGCTTAGGGCAAGGCAATGTATAGGAAGCTGGAGATCAGCTCGGTTTAGTTGGGTACAACCAACTTGTAAGAAAGTGCCTTAAATGTACATAGGAATTATGGTAATATGGAAGCATGTAATATATTAATCTGATGCTCAAACAAACTACACATGTATGTCCCTTAAAGTATTAATGGAAAAGGCTTCTGTTGGTGTAAAAGGAAAACAGCAGGTGCTTTATTTATTGGGTGAGTACAAGGTGCAGAATAGGATGTAGTTAGCATACATGTAAACAAAACATCGACGACAAAGGGAAAACACCGTATAATTGTTCAGAAAACAATTTGGCAGACCAGGACCAAAACGTAAGGTATTGTCATAACGACCACTCCTTGGTAATCTCAGGGATGTAACTTGATGTAGAAACATTTCACCAATCTCAACTGCTTCGGGAATGTTAGGAACAAGATTAAAAAATGATTCCATGACCACCATACCTTGGTCAAAAGAACCACAACAAACAAGAACAATTCCCAAGGCAAACCTAGCATATATCATGTGTGGAGCAGCAGCTCCTAACAGATCAAGTGATAGCTGGGAAGGACCTGCTTTAGCAGCAAGGCGTAAGCCTTCAACGAACTGGGCAGAGTGATTATCAGCGTCCAAACACCGTAAAAAGAACGGCCTGTAGACAGAACCAATATTTGCCAGATGTGGTGCGAAGACGAATTCATCAATATCGACATCAGCAAGGACGGTCTCGTCAAAGGCAAGGGCCATACACTTGGGTCCAGCAGCTACCAAAGAACCTAACTCTCTGAAACCATGCTGGGAGAGACGCCGAACAATGTCAAGAAGCAGAGGATGTGGAATAATGTTCATTTTTTTGGAGTTTGCGTTTCTGAGGATGCAGGAGAAAGAAAGAACAACAGTGATTAAATAGGGAATTAGAGGCAAGAGAGGGAACGTATTTGGAGTTGAAATGCAGGTGGGGAGTAAGCGTGCAATGACATACATTAAGTGATATAGGTGGCACAGTAGCAGCAAGTGGTAATTAAAAGCTGTGTGTTCCCTTGCGTGTTCTGTCAAGGAAAAGTGACAGTGTAAAGTGCCTTGAAACTAGCAAATGATATGGAAACCAGAAGGTGTAAGCGTTACTGTAGATACAAGAACTGCTTTTACTGGAACTGTCACATACAAGATACAAAAATGAAAAAGAAAAAAAAGATTTAGGAATAAGATCTTGAAAAGAGTTTAACAAAGAAGGAGGTACATAACACTAAACCAATACAAAAAACACTGCCTGCAACGTCTGTCAATGCGGCACCTAGTAGCAAAACAGGTAGGGATGTCACCATAGTGCCAAGTGTTAGCGTGCGAACGAATCTTCACTGGACCAATTTGCATTATGTGTTTAAAGACAGTGCTACCAATAGCATCAGCTTGACGGAATGAACCAATAGACGAGATGAAGCTATCAATTGTGGCAATTGATTCTTGGTAAAAGCCGAGGCAAACCTCTAATAATGCTCGTGAAAACCAAGCTTGAGGTGGACTATTGCCAGAGGAGTATAACAACCGAAGAGCATCTTCAGCACGCCCAAGTTTTGCAGCAAGGCGGATGCTTTCAAGGTAGGCAGCAGTTGGATTAAGAGAGTCCAAACATAGGCGGAAGAATGGACGATAAATAGAGTCTTCGTTAATAAGGCTTGCATCTGCAAGGAAGGGTTGAAGGCTGACATTGTTGAGAACAATAGGATGAGATGCGAGATAGTGGTAGAATTTCGAAGCCAGCAGCATACCCCCAAGAGCCTTAAACGAATCCTCACCAACACGTGAGACAATATCTAGAGCAATGTTGATGTCCAGTTTTTCCATTTCTTCTGTGGTAGAAGGAAAGTGTGAATGATTATCTTTTTTTAAAGGCAAAACATGTAGGCACTGGTAGCAAGCAAATAAATGTTTAATAGCTAAGTGGGTGAGGAGCTCTGACATTTATGGCAAGAAAAATCAGGTATATTGCAACATGAGCTAAAACCATAAACCATTGTCATAAAAGTACACGAAAGAGGATAAATACAAGGAACTGAAGTTACGAAGGGAAATAGGTACATGTGAGAAGAGTTAAAACAGAATGGGGAATGTAGTAGAAGCACAGCATAGGTACAGAGCTTAAGGGGAGGAAGTGTAAAGTCTTCAGATATTGGTAAACGCAGAAAAATGCCAATAGAGACAGGAAAACAATCAAGAGAAGGACAGATATTCCGCATAGAGATCCATGGCGTAGTGCATTCTGATGCTGTCAACCTGCTTCTTTGTAAGGTGCTGAAGCGACGAAGTGAGCTGATGTGAGTGGAGTTCAATAAACTTAAGAGACATCGGGCCACAGTCGCCACCCCGGTCATTTTGCGCAAGATGAGGGACTCGCATGAATGTGAAGCCAGTTGATGGCCAAGTGGCAGGGACATCATTTGAAAGAGACTGAAGCAAAGAAGGAAGCATTTGAGCTATAGGAGACATGTATGAGACGACCTTCCTTTGAGGAGTGCAGTCTTCAAAGGGGTCAAGGATGTCAATATGACCACGACATAGATCTATGGCTAAGGCAACCCAGTGTCTCTTTCCCCAATTCATCGGCATGTAGCCAATGTCAACATCTTTGAGCCATGCCAATTGGGAAGGACGGCCATCTACTACACCACGAGCATACGCAATCAGAAGAGGGTTCCAAGCATAGGCAGATGTATTGAGGTTCTGGCTGAAACTCATAAATTTGTTGCTCATAATGGAAGTGAACATGGAGTCCAGAAGTGTAATTCTCCGTGATGCAAGGTACGCACCATGTTTCTTCTAAAGGAAGCTGACAATACAGTCAATGTGCTGCAATGAAAAACAATGGAGATCAGAGACAATGGGAGTAAGAACTATGAAAGAGTAAGATTTGAAATGAAGAATACTAATGAGATGTGGAGAAGATGAGACTGACCAAGCTTGAAACCCAGTTTTGAGGCTTAGATATCTCAGAGAAGAAGGCAGCAGGGTATGGCTGACCATTTATAGTGTATTCACTGCAAAACAAACATGGTAAGAAAATGAATGTATAATATGGTATAGAAGAGACAGTTAACTGAGGCGTTAGAGTTCCAGAATATGCTGCACCTGCCCTGAAGCTTTGAAAGTTTGACTAAAAATTTTGAAACAGTTGGAGAGTTTATAGCTTCAAGTGTACTTAAAATGTATTCAGAACTGTCACCAACAAGAGGCTTGGGAGCTTGTTTCTTGCTACGAAGATTCATAGCAGGGCCAGAAACCAGTAGCTGTTGACTACACTTTGCAGAAGGAAGTGAAGCTATGCGAGCTTGGCTCCTTGTCATTGTTTTCCGGGAAGTACTTTGGAGCAAATGTTTAACAGGTGAGGACAAAGGGCTAGGTCCCGCTGTACTGTTCAAGGCACATACATCTTTCAGCTGTGTGGATGACGTACTAAGCTGGTTTGGAAGCAGATTTTTGTTATGTTTTGGGGCAACCTGAGAAAAAAAAAAGTAAGAAGAGAAGTAAACCGACTGTGTAACAGGTAAGAGACAATTAGTAGCAGTAGAAAACAACTAACCCCCGGTGTAGTGGACAAATAGGGCGAGGGGTGAGGACAATGAGGGTTTGACACTTCCGGAGCATGGTTAGAAGCAGGGCCTTGATCACTCGCAGAAGGAATGCAGGAGGATTTGAGGGTTAACTTCTTTGCTTCATGAAGCAAAGATGGGCAGCGCAAAGCTTTCTACATAAACAAAGCAAGTAAAATTCAGTAAGTACCATTGTGGGAAGATGAAAGGAAAGTAGCAAAGCAGAACAATTGGTAACCATTAGATAACCTCAGTAAACACTATATTGTCTGGACACAAAGATGAAACGGGATAAGTTGCCGGAGAGGGAATAACAGCAGGGGCATGGCTACCACTGACGACAGGAGAAGCAGGCTAGATGAGGAAAAAAAAGAATTAGTACAAGCAATTAAAAAAAGCATTGGAAAAGAGAACCAAGGTAATCCTTACCACATTAGGAGGGGCACCAGTGGGGCAGTTGCGAAAGCCAGTACAACCTTGAGAGGAAACAGTTGATAAAGAGGGACTTCTAATGGGAGAAGGGAGCGCATTATGGGCTGACTCAGTTAAAGTGTGAGCCGAAGCTGAAAGTTTAGCAGAAGCAACGGAGCTTTTTTTCCGTGCAGTAGAACAGTTAGCAACTGATTCTACAGACATGGCAGTAGAAGCAGAGCGTGTGACACGCCGAGGCAAAGAAGATGCAGGATTAACAGGAGAAGTAACATTAACAGTCGTTGACACAACTGTATTATCATGGAGAGTTTTGTCAATAAGCTCGCGAACTTCAACAATAAGAGATGCTTTCAAAGATTTGACATTTTTTTGAGACAGTGTCTGAGAGCGTTTAGCCTTCGACTTAGAACGAGACCGCAGATCCCGCGTAACCTTTTTGGCATCTGGCTCTTCAGCAGAACTTGAGCTATCAGACTGGCAATGGTTGCATTTACGCTTTCGGGAAGACCTTAGGGATGGTAGAGAGCTATTACCACCAGGCCAAATAGATTTATCGAAGTTAAAAGTTGATGCAATAAGGCCCTCTAACTGTTTAACCTTTGGGTCGCAATGCGGAGACGCGAGAAATGCAGCATCACCTGATGCTGGAGGCAAAACAAAAAGCTGCACAAAGGAAAGATAAAGATCAGCTATTAAGAAAGAGAAAAAAATTAATTAAGCCACAGTGAAAGAAGAAGGATAGACTTGTCGTGAATATTCTACATGCAGAATGTTTGATGAATGGTATGACTTGCACTTAGGAAGACGAGGAATGACTTGGTCAAGGAAATTAAACTCTTCTCCAGCATGAGGCAAGTACTTAAGCAGCAACGGGATATACTTGAAAGCAAAAAGCTGAATTGCAAGAGGAAAACCATGTATTGCAACAGAGGATTGTCTAAGCTTGGCTACAAGGGAGGCAGTGTCGAGAATATAAGAACCAACTTTGGCAGTCCGCAGAATTCGGTGAAAGGAGTGTCTTCCCCAAGGATATTTAAGAAAGAAATTAATGTCTTTCACCATTTCAACAACTTCAACAGATGCTTTAACTGGTTGAGAGCGACAAAGTAAAATACCTTCTACAATAACAACCAGACAAATCCTGAATTTACGCCAACTAGCCATAGTAGGCTCCTGTTTAAGACGGGCAAGAAGTTCCTTAACTGTCACAGCACCAGGAGTACCTCCAATTAATTGATACTAGTAAGGTGAAGAACCATCAGCATGAGTTGTTGCAGCCTCAAGTTCTGACTGTGGAGGGAAATCACAACAAGACAACCCAGTGGCATCATGAAATTCCTTTAGCGAAAATCTCAACGGCTGACCCCCAAAAACAAACCACATTTCCGCAGCATTGGTTGTATGCAACTGTCTACAGAGCATCTGATGAACCAGTTGGCCAGAAAAAGAACATTGACGAACAGGCAGAGAGAAGAGGGCACCAAGAGGGGAGGACAAGAGGGGAGGACAAGAGAGTCTCCAACTCTGGCATACCATGCAGAACATTCAAAATATCAACCAGGTACTTAGGTTTTGAATAAGAATTGATACGAACTGCATGAGAAGGATAGCAATCAACAGCAAAAATTCTTTCAGGGAGAACACCTGAAAATATAAAAAGAACAAACATTGAAGCTCAAAACAGGAAGCAGAGTGTGTATGAAAAACCTGAATACAAAGTTTAAGGGTACTAAACCCTAAGAGACATGGCACTACTAAACCCAAGTAGAAACATTGACAGTACTAAACCCTCTAGGGTACTAAACCCTAAGAGACATGGCACTACTAAACCCAAGCAGAAACATTGACAGTACTAAACCCTCTAGGGTACTAAACCCTAAGAGACATGGCACTACTAAACCCAAGCAGAAACATTGACAGTACTAAACCCTCTAGGGTACTAAACCCTAAGAGACATGGCACTACTAAACCCAAGCAGAAATATATACAGTACTAAACCCTATAGGATACTAAACCTAAGAGGTATGGGACAACTAAACCCAAGCAGAAATGTATATGATTATGGTAAAGCCTGAAAGCCATGATGACTAAACCCAAGTATAGATGTAAACGATACTTAATGGGAAAAAAGGGAGGGGGACAGGTCGCAGAATTACAAACCAGGTCGAGCAGAGGGAGAAGCTCCAGATCCAAGTGAACCCATTGAAGTAAGGCAGAACCTACAAATGAAAGTAATGTCATTTTTGGGGTCAATTGCATGATAGGTAACAAAATCAATTGAACTAAGACAGAAACTATAGAGGAAATTCATGGGTGTTTAGGCAACTTAGCTGCCATGAATCTTAAGTTTTACAATAAATGCCACATATCCTAAACGGAAACAACAATATCCACCGGCGAGCGGCGAGGTAGAGATCATTCCCATAAGGTATGAAACCTAAACCCTATCCATGTCGGAAGAAGACTGTAGATAGTTATATGGAACATGCAAAAACACAGAGAAACGATGCGGAACCCAGCAGATTAGCAATGGCAAGAGGGAGACAGCAGTAAAGCTCCATTAAATTACCAGCTGCAGCTTTGCCGACGAATTTTAGATCTACGAATTGGAACTCCAGAACGGACGATGCGGCGGTGAGCTCTTTGTTTTCCCCGACGATAGAGAAAGCAAAGTGGAGAGGGAAAGTAATGATTTACTGTGCTGTAAACAGAGAGTTATGGCTACACGGTTGGTTTGTCTGACGTCTCGGGCAGCTGAGTAAATGCACGGGTGAAGCGAAAAAAAAAAATTGATGACGAAGAGTCGCAAAGGGTAAAATCGTAAAACAATAGGCTGCACAAAGGGTAAATCTACAAACTGTGCAAAAAAGGACAAGGGCAACAAATGCCACGGTAAAAAAGGACATTTTCTGTAATTGATTCTTGTAAATCAAGAAGATCAAACCGATGCAGAATCACATTCGTTCAGAATAATTTGTTTGTTTGATGGATCATGTTTGTCTCTTACAACTATTCACACATATAAAGTTTAGACATCAATATTAGAAAAAGTAATGATGACTTTTGCATTAATTGTGACATGAGTCATGTCTAAACTTTTTGGGCATTAAATACTGATGTCTCATTGTGTTTTAATGTTATTAATCCCAACTTGTCACTGTACTCCCGCACAAATCAATTAAGAACGAAATATATTGCTTAACCGGAACAGTGTACGTAACTGAACCGCTTAACTGAACCGTACAGTGAACACTACATCGGTCCGTTGGTAGGGGTAAAATGGTCAGATTTTGGCTAAATTGTCAAAACTTGAAAGCCCATTCTCACTTTGCCAAAATATGAAATTAAAACTTGGTCAACTGCCCTGCCATGCAATTTACCCATAAAACATGGTCTTATGCCCTGCCCTGAAAATTACCCTAAAGTTTACATCTTTCTTCACTAAAGTTTACAATCTTTCTTCACTAAAGTTTACATTTTTCTTCTCTAAAGTTTACATCTTTCTTCGCTAAAGTTCACATTTTTCTTGACTGCATACATATTTAAGTAAGAAATGTTGTCCCTTTTGTAAAAATCAGGAGATTGGTTGTTTACCCTAAAGGAAACGAAGAGGACAATGGAAGGGGGCTTTGTTTCAATGTATGTGGAATGTCTCTCATCCACAACACCACTCATTGACGTGTTTGCTCATCTCACTTTCTTTGTCTTTAGCGAGGAAGAGAAGAAGTACCTCTCTATTCAAGGTTCGTATGCTCTTACCCTTATCATCTCTCTCTATAAGAATGCATCAATGATATGTGTATATACATGTTAACATTGTAGATGTTGAAGTAAAGCGTTTCAATTCTGCTAAAACGGTTTGGGGATTGTCAAAAGCTCTTTCGGTTGAAACACTCAAAGACCGTGCAAAGGGATTTATCTTGTACGGAGAACTACATGAGTTTGGTGCTCATGTGAAGATTGTTTCACGACCTGTCTCTTTTGGTGAAGATCTCCCTTTTCACAAATTCTCATGGACTATTTGTGATTTCTCTCTTCTCAGACAGAATGATTGCGTTTCGAAAACCTTTCACATGGGAGAAAAGGATTGGTGAGTTTATCAGAAGTTTTCTTTTCTCATATATTGTTGTATGTGTGTGCATGAGTGTTAACTAGCTAACAAGTGGATGTTAATGTCTTACTACAGGACTCTGACTTTGTATCCAAAGGGGGACTCTAGAGCAGATGGCAAGTTATCCCAGCATTTGCATTTAGCCGACGGTGAAACTTTATTCAGGGGTGAGCTGATTTTCGTTCGAGTAAACCTGCAGGTTCTAGACCCGCGTGGATCCGATCACCTAATAGGAAGCAGTAAGTCTAAAACTATTGATGTTACTATTTGGCAATGTTTATTGTCAGCGCTGATGCAAGGGATAAGCTAGGTGCTGATGACATTGTCAATAAATGTTCTTAACTTGGGATGTCAAATGTCCTACTCCTTTGACTATAAACTAGTGGTACAAAGTTTATAATTAATGTGCTTTACTTACATTTCTTGTTTTTGTAGTTAACGGTTGGGTCATGGCCTCGACCAAAGCGATGGGTCTTCCTCAATTCATGCCTTTAGCTAAAATTCAGGGGGCTTAGTTGGACCGTCAAGATACTTTGGAGGTAGAAATCGAATGTGAAGTTGTTAACTCCATCAAAAACCATCCCTGTTTTTAGGATATCTACCATGCCATGTCTACTACTCTAGGACTTACCTACTCTGTTTGTTGCGTAGAGATTGAAATGTGAAGTTACCGCTCTATCTATGTTTTTAGGATATCTATTAATCTATCATGCATGTCTGAGTCTGACTATTGTATGTCTGTATGACTTTTCATGCGTTTATTAATGATCTTAGTTATTTAATGTTTGTTTTGCTTTTGGTTTATTAAAGATCTTGAAATATTTTTATGATTCAACTTTTGCATTCTCTTCTGCTATTATGGTTACATCAAATGCTATAGGGCATATTAGAGTGGACTAGAGATATCACTTAGAAATGAATTAATTACGGATTTTGCCCTTTTTTATAGTGGCATTTATGGATTTTCGCCATTTTTTGAATAATTTATGGATTTTGTCCTTTTTTAGGCTCC